ATATATATATATATATATATATATATAAAATAATCTATATAATAATCCTTCTGTGAATATAAATCTTATTACGTTGCGTATATAATAAGCATGCCTTCCAGTCGCTTCGCACCCTCGCCTTCGTCACGAATCGTCTTTCTGCGTGTTCCGTACGAAATGCACGCTCGCGTGCTGGTGAAAGAAAACGCGACAGAGCGTAATTGCAGGAAAAAACTATCGTCGATGGACGATACACTGGGCCCCTTCAAAGAAATTCAATGACGCGTGCAACACGTACGCGCATGCCTGCATGCATGTATTCTTTGATCTTCGCGATTTTGATCTACACGATTTTCAACGAGGAACGTGTAATTAGCTGCCCCGCTGAAAAAACGTAGCGGGTATTCATTGGCAAGTAAGGGAGCCGAGTTGTTAAAATAATTTTGAAGACCCTCGCCAGACTTTTCCCTTCGAAATCTTTTGAAAAGGAGGAGCAAGAAGTGCGACGTTCAGCCAGCATGGAAAATTAAATAACATAAAAGCTGCGGACGGAAAGGGACTTTTAACGTTGGCGACTTTGTTCCACTTTGCATAAGCAACGACGCGAGAGGTTGGTTTTTCCACCGCGAAGGCGGGGATGGATATTAATGCACTGGCTTCTCTTATTATCTTACGAACGATGGGGATAAAAGTTGCAAGAATGGCCTCCTCTCCTCGCGATAAATGGGAAGAGGTATTTCTGTAAACGGAAAGTTCGCGCGCGTCATCTAGGCGAAGAGACGAAATTAATGAAGCGGCGTCCTCCTGCGCGATAAAACAGTGCTCGTGCAAGGAGCGAGACAAAAAAGGAAGAGACAGGTGTGGCGAGATGCGCGTCGCGTCGTAAGAACTTAACGATTGAGATTCAAAACACAGCATATAATTCGCTAACACTGTACACACGCAACGATGCGTAATAATATACGCCGAGTGTGAGATCCAGCTAACAAGATAAACGTGTTGTTATTTGCGACGCCCGCGTACGTGTTTCCCTGCGTATTACGATAATAATGATAGAAATTAATCTGTTTATTAGCGGGGACGAATACGCGATAATTATAATTACACGTTGTGGGAAAAATGTTATTTGCGGCGAGGCTTTCGACGTTGTATCGGAATTCGAAAATGTCTGTTTAAAATCCTTTGTCACATAGAACTCTAAATCGGAAAATCACGAGAATCTAACATCACGAACTGAACATCTAAAAAAAAAAAAAAAAAAAAAAAAAAGAAGAATGTCAACAGTGAAATTTGATATTGATGTTGTTTCTGCGGAAACGAAATTGAAATTGAAATTACGTGGAAGAATGTAAATGCCAAAGCGAAGAGACACGAGGCACACTGGTCTCGCATGATAAACGATTGGTGTCTATTCTCACCTGCCCACTTGACGTTAATGCAGTCAATTACCGGCAAAGTGATTACCGGTCGAAGTCGTAATTCATTTTTGATCGAGTACGCCAAATGAAATTACCGACACTGACGTAACACGATTATACATGCGTGTAGTATGAAGAAAAGCAATGTTGTAAGTCGTGCAAGTGCACTCTGTGTATAGCAAATTCTTGCAATATCTTTTTCCATAGTGCATGTGAGTCAATTCTACTCTAATTGTTTATTTCGTGAAGTAAAAGCAGAGTTTCCCCGCGTTCTTTGCTCATAGTGACTTCAGATTTACTGGAAATTGCCAAGATATAAATTAAAACACATGCTATATATATTAAATGTTCATATTGAATAGATAATAAAAAGTCTTAAAAAAAAATAACCGAATTTAAATATGAAAATAATTATAACGATATTCAAATAGAAATAATCTTCCAATTATAGATCATTGTCGACTACATACTATTGTTGATAGCCACGTTAATCTTCAGATGTTGAATCAAATTCAATAGCGAAAAAATTAAATTATACGAAAATATTATTTTTTCAAACATTCCCTCCGACAGAAATAATGACTACATGTAACAGACTAATTTCATAAAGGAATTCGCCGCATCCGCTTTACGTTGCCCAAGTTGATGAACCATTTGCCTTAATTACGTAGTCCGCACAGTCGTCTTGTGACTTGCAAGAGCTTTAAATATTTCTTCAGAGTATTTACGATAAACCGCGATTTCATTTGAATTTATTCTTCCGATAAAGGCAAACAATTAAATTCTGTCACGTAAATATTTATGATAACGTTTACGATTTGTCATATTAAATATCACACAGTAACGCTTTTTTTTTTTTTTTTTTTTTTTCTAGAAAAATAGGATATTAAGTTAACATTTTTACACGATCACATTAGTGTAATGTAAATAAAATTTTTATAGTATATTGTAAATAAACGTTTATACGATTCCTATATAGGCACATATTTTTAATTTTACCGCCATTGCTATGTCAATATCGTTCGAGGTCGCTTCCCAAAGCATATATATCACCCAAAGCGATCAAACGCGCAAGGTTTCCCGTACGGAAATACCACTTCCGTTATATCGTGTCTCGGCCATGAATGTAAGTATATTTTCGGCAGTCGCCAGTATTTTTGGACAGCACTCAACAACGACCAAAAACGACACGAGACGGAGGGCCCCCATCGATAATGTCGATTCCTTCCACTTTGACTGAATACTTAAAATACTGTACGATCGCGAGTAACGACATTCAACACTTGTTGCGGTGTTTGAAGGGAGCACGTTGCTCTCTCAAAATCCCTCTGTCGGAGGGAAAAGATTTAGGTTAGGTTCTTACGCATTCGAGCCCGTCGTTTCTCGCTTTTGCCAGGGGTTCTACGTCATTTCATCCTGAATTAAGCTGAAAGAAGGGCTTCCCGAAGTCAAAGCGTGTCCAATTTAGGTTGGACCTGGCTCTCGGACACGTGTCCACGCTCAATTATTCGTTTCTATACCAATTATTTCTCTGAGGATTATTTCGAGAGGAAACGAACGGTGGAAAAATTCAAAACACATTTATCGCGCGGGCTTTTATCGTCACAGTCTATGTATACGAACAAGAAAAATTGCACGTGTTGAAGGGAATTAATTAAACATTATATACAAAAACTACATCGATTCACTTGATAAATTGAATTTTATAGATAGGTTATCCAATCGTTCTAATTGGCGAAAAATTATAAAATGATATAAAAAAGGAGAATCCATAACCTCTAATTTGTAACTATGTCAAATTGTTAATAATACATATTAGCAGGCAGAAAAATCAGTATTATATTAAATTCTGCGTAAGAAGGCCCAGGACTAATTAAGATTGAAAAATATATAAAATACAGATTTGATCTGTTTGGCTTCTGACATTCATACATGGATTCCAGTTACAAGAACTGTTTGTCCTACCGTGAGTTCAGATAAATAGAATCCAGTAATAATAATAACACAAGGATTCGTTTTTAGCGTGACCGTGCGTCGATTTCTCTAATGTAAGCCTGGCAACGTTTCTCACGATCTATCACACAGAGTAATGGGTATTTCGAAATGGGAACGTGATACCTATTGGTTAACGATTATGAATCAAAGCTGATACATCGGGACGCAGAGATGGCTTGCGCGCAGGAGCACGCGTTCAATCAGGATTAAGAAACCCATTCGAAATAATTTATTCATTATCAGTTGGATGAATTATTTGGCAATTCAACGGTAATAGAATTAATGAAAAATTCACATTAATCCCTTCTTCAAGTCGAGCCGGGTGGTCTTTTTAGTTAAAAAAGTTAATCGATTGAAATAAATTGACGAGAGATCAGTTAACAAACGGGAATTCTTGTAAAAGTTAATTCATCCGAATACGATCGAAGAACAGATCAAATAATGAAAGTTCACTAGTCCTCGCTTCTTTTTTAAATGTAAACAGTTATTATAGATCACTCTATTTTTT